TAAACCACCAATGTATAACACAGTTGTGTTTCTCTACTGTGTTGTTAGACACGTAAACCACCAATGTATAACACAGTTGTGTTTCTCTACTGCATTGTTAGACACGTAAACCACCAATGTATAACACAGTTGTGTTTCTCTACTGTGTTGTTAGACATGTAAACCACAAACGTATAACACAGTTCTGTTTCTCTACTGCATTGTTAGACATGTAAACCACCAATGTATAACACAGTTGTGTTTCTCTACTGTGTTGTTAGACATGTAAACCACAAACGTATAACACAGTTCTGTTTCTCTACTGCATTGTCAGACATATAAACCACTAAGCAACATGTGTCAGTCACAGTTGATGTAAACTACTGGTGTGTAAAGATGTCAGTCACAGGTAATGTAATCTATTGTTGTATCAGAACTTGTGATTAATCACAGGCTAAATAAATCAGTTGGTGGTTTGGTCTTTAGACTAGTTGGGACTTCATAACTCAGTGTTGACTGTCTTTAGATGATTTGAAACAAGATATACAAGCCTGATGATGAAAAACGTCTTTTAGATATAAAAATATTTTGTTTAAAATGAATACAACTGTGCATCATGTGTATTTTTTTTTTTTGGCTTCATGAGAGTGGTGTATGTGAGTAATTTGCTACACGGGTCTATTTAACATGGATGATCAGCAAAGGTACCAGTGAAACTGCAAAATATCCCTTTCATTTGGCATTGGGTTCACTTGGAAGGTATTTAATGCACAAACCTTTTGTTTGATTGGTTATCTATTTAACCTCAATCTGTGGGGGTGTCCATCTGAGTTTCTCTACCAAATAATTTCATTGAAAGTGGTTTGTAAAGATCATGAAACCAAAGAACTCTACATTAGATATAGAAACAAATTTGTTTTTATGAAAACCACGAGAAAATTGCTGTTAAATTATTTCCTTTATTTATTAACATGATAAAGGAGTTTAGCAGCAGCAAAGTACAGTCTCCTCCAATCATGGCATCTTGTTGCAGCACATTTGTCAGTAAAATTATAAAAATCTTAATAATTCGTATTAAAATAGAAAAAAAAATTATTTGTTTAACCCTTTCACAGCAGCTGGGATGTATATTTTCCAGTTCCAGTCACAGTGAATGAGTTAAGGAAATAGCATAGTTTCAGTTAAAAGTCATAAAAAAGATGAACTTGCTATGTTATTAAAAATGTTTTACCACATTTTGTTTTATTCATTTTTTCCTTTTTAATGAATGTTCCTGAATGATGACATTTTTTAAATCTTTATATTTCAGAATAACCATTTATATGACAGTGCTTTTACTGATATTGGAAATTTGAACCCCCTCTATCTACAGTCTATTCATTCATCTGGTTATTCTTTTTGATTAGCTGTGTCTTAGTAAGTGATTAGTACATTCCATCCAACATATGGTAACGTTTCAGGATCAGCTGTGTCTCTAGATCAAAAATAGTCAACACATGTGGTCATTTGGTATTTGACTCTCAATAAGGTTTTATAGTTTTAATTACTTTAATTCAGTATATTAGCTGTTGTGGTGATACATTTGTCTTGATACCATAAGCTGGTCATTCAGAGAAACAAAATACTCATTTTTTCTAAGTTGTGATGTGATTTAAGTAAAATATTTTCATATTATTATTATTATTATTAGCAATAGTAGAAACAAGGCCCAAAGTAGATGTGATAAAAAGTAAAACTATTATCATCACAGAGATGTAAACAGTAATGCATGGTATCATTTAGTGGTAGTAAATATGAGTTATAATTAACTTTTATCAATGTCAGAATGTTTACAAAATGTTCTTATAATTTGTATTTTTTAATATTCAGTGAAATAAAGAAAAAAAATATAAGAATTCTCAGTATTTGTGGTAGCTATTCATAATTTAACCACAAAGTTATTTACTAAACAGAATATTAGCACTATAAAATAATGGATTTAATTTTTATATCTTTCAGTAGCTGGTCATAATTTTAAAATTGTATGTTTTTAAAAAAATGGTTTATTGTTTTCTTAAAGTTATGATAAAATACCTGAAAAATTAGTAAGTTGTGAAATTTCTTTTATGTAAGGCACCCTAAAATTCTCTTAGTGTACGATTATTTAATATTGATAATGTTGTCTAGTTTTAATAAACTTAATTATGTGATGAAAGTAATGATAGGTTTAGAATTTGTTTTAATACTTACACATGATTAAAAAAATTGAATGATTCATCAGAGTGGTGACTATACATGAAAATCAGTTTGATTAGAGCCACAATTTCACCAAAGACTATGAGTTAGGCTTAATAACTTCTACCGAGAAGAACACAAGCTAGACTACGAGTTGAAATTTAAAATGCCTTTCCAAAAAATGAATGAACTCTGTATTTCTACTCAAAAGTTTGTATTAAATTTTGTATATCTAGTCCCAGACCTTTACTTCATCTGAGTAATCCCCTTTATGATGATATATATCAACAAAACTTGTTCCTATGTTAATTCTGTATATCAGTTTGTGTGTTACTGTGTATATATATGTGTGTGTACGAAAACTTGATAAACAGATTGAGCTTCTGAAGTGAATATGTAGTAGTAGTGATATTTTGTTTTTGTTATACCCTTGCTTAATGGATTTGAAACAAGACACTACACACGAATCTTATTTCTATTTGATGTACGTGAACTTTGAGATGCACGTGAATGCAGCTAAACTAAACAACTTGTTCACTTTAAATGCTCATATTGAATAGAAGAAAGGTGGGGTATTTTTTAAATTGTAAAATTTGGGAAAGAAATGTAAATTTTTTTGCTGTAAATATAAACTATTTTTGTGAAAACGATAAATGGTTTTATTGTAATTGATATTTCAATTTTATGTATAAATGTAATTTAAATAAAATGTTTTAAAACAAAAACTGTGTTATCAACATATAAGTGCATTTGTGAATGCTTATAAAAAATTTATGAAAGTAGATAGTAAGCATGTTTTTAGCCATTCAGTCATCCAAGTATATTGAAATATAACATTTCATATATACAGCAACCAAAGATAATAGAATAATAACCTATTTCTCCAGCAGTTTTTTAGGATCTAAAATGTTTAAGCATCTAAGATGCATTTATTCAGATTGTCTTGTGTTTAATAATTAATTAGACAGTTAATTATTCCACACCAAGTAAGGAAAATAAGTACAAATAAATTTTACTGCTGTTGAAATAAATATAATTCTATTTTTGGAAACATATTAGTACTGATTCGTGGGCCACTTCTCTGTATTTTGAAACTTATTGGTACCACATGTTCAACGTAAAACTCAAAGCATTCTTCCAAAGCATATTTTGTAAACATAACTAACAAATGTATAATGTTGGTGTATAAAACAAAAGCAGAAGTTTTATGTGAATTTACGTAATGACGAGTGCTTTTTTGGAAATTTTGATGACTCGACCAAATATTGGATTTCAATGCCCATGGTGAGTACAGCACAGATAGCTCATGTTGAAGGCTACTAAAGTATTTATGAAAAAAACTACTGTCTTGTTTTCCTCAATTCTGTAATTATGGAGTTTCACCAAGTACCGATGGTTTCAAGTATTAATTATATGAAATTACTGATTTCACAACAAATTTGCTTGGAAAATAAGGAAAGTAATTCTGAATCTGAAAACAACTTAGTGTGTGTAAAATAATGAGGTTTTACCAGTGCTAAAAATGAAAACAATCTTTATTATTGGACAAACAAGAAGAAAACAAAGCATATGTACTTGTGCAGAAAGAATGACAGTCGCTTCTACTGGAGTGTACTTAACTCCACAACTTTCTTTCTTTCGGGTTCGAGTCCCCGTCACACCAAACATGCTCGCCCTTTCAGCCGTGGGGGCATTATAATGTGACGGTCAATCCCACTATTCGTTGGTAAAAATGTAGCCCAAAAGTTGGCGGTGAGTGGTGATGACTAGCTGCCTTCCCTTTAGTCTTACACTGCTAAATTAGAGACGGCTAGTGCAGATAGTCCTCGTGTAGCTTTGCGCGAAATTCAAAAACAAACAATCATTTCATCAATTGTCATGATGTCATCAACTGATTTTTTATACTTCACATTCTTGAAATGGCTTGGTTGGTAGGCCGCTCAACTTCCAATCTGCAGGTCGCAGGATCAAAAGACAGTGCCAGACATGCTAACCCTTGAGCCTCTGGTGTATTATAATGTGATGATAAATCCCTCTATTCGTTAGTAAAGAATAAACCAAGAGTTGGCCGTGGGTACTGCTTGCCATTCGTCTTGCCTAAGGCCGGCAGTTCAAAATTAGGGACGGCAATAGGTGGTCGAAGTAGCTTTACCATAAATGAACAAACATTTATAAAACTAACAGCAAATGTTTTAACAAAATCATAAAAACAAAATTTAAACAACACGAATTTAACTTGAAAACACAAAGTAAAATCAAATACAACTACAATCAGAAAACAAAAATAACCATCATAAAAACACAACATCAATGGGGCTTTTCAGGTGTCTGGTTCCTCCTGTACGATATGGTTATTATATTCAGGATCTTCCTTTATCAACATTGGCAGGCGAATCAGCAATGCGATCCGGACCAATTACACTGCAGTAGTTCTGTCTATTGAATGGTTCACTGCAGTCCTCTTATGAGTATAATAGATTGTCAGGCAGTTCGTGAGATTCGTGGCTCCACTGAGAAGACAGGACTGAAAACTTCATGTGCAACAACCTGAGATAGATCAGAATTCAACAGTTGTGTAAGTTTAAACGTCATAAGCAAAGAAGCCATGACCCAACCCTTTCTTGGAAAAGATAATCTGAATATTGGAGTAGTACATGGAGGCGTGGATTGCAGATTAAAAGTGGCTTGGGAACTCTATTTTCATAATAGTCCTCTAGTGAGGTCGGGTAGGGAGATTCTTGTAAAAAAAACAAAAAAAAACGAGTGTGGTGCTGCTCTTAATGCTGCATGGCCTATAATATCTACTAGTGTTGGTCACACAGTTCACAAATTAAAAAATACATTGTGCAAGACTCTTCAGTTACATTCGAACGTTTAATATATTTATTACCAGTCTTGGAAAAGTATAGTCCCACATGAACTGAAAGTAATTCACACAAAAAGAATTTTAAAAGAGTAAAATAATTACCCAATTTTCGTCATTCATGTCATAGACCCGGCATGACCAGGTGGTTAGGGCGCTCGACCCGCAAACTGAGGGTTCGAATCCCCGTCCCACCAAACATGCTCGCCCTTTCAGCCGTGGCAGCGTTAAAATGTGACAGTCAATCCCACTATTCGTTGGTAAAAGAGTAGCCCAATAGTTGGCAAATAGGGGTGAAGACTAGCTTCCTTCCCTCTATTCTTACACTGCTAAATTAGGGACGGCTAGCGCAGATATTCATCGTGTAGCTTTGCGCGAAATTCAAAAACAAACAACGAAATTGTGTACTAATTACGTCTGGTTTAACTAGGGTTATGAAATATATTCACAATTTTTTTTTCGATGTGACTCGCTCGCCCAATCCACCCTCTAAATGCGTGGTTCACTGGAACGGTGAGCTTCCTACTATACAAGTAGTGCTGATAATGTTTAACAAATATCATAATTACGAGCAGTTCTTTCTCTGTCATACAGTATTGGTGTGCAGAAGCAGTTAACATAGATCTTTTATGCCTGATTATCCATTCCATGCCGTCTGGTAAAATATTACAAATTCCACTATCACTGGCGTTTGTATTCAGGATGAATGAATAATATTCACGAGGATAAGCCAGCTGAAGCTACGACTAAGGCGTTCCTCGGGGACTTGAACGAGTCTTCACATTATTGTATTAACACAAGTAACGTGTCAACCTTAGTCATCGCAGACAATGGTGCAAATATTTTGGAGAAACTGTTCACAAACTACCAATAATAGTACGACACAAAATCTAAAAATTTGTGGAGTTCTTGTTTATTAGAAGGTAGAAAACACTCCTTGACCAATGAAACTTTCGTAAGGTCAACGGATATTCCATCTCTAGCGACTATGTGATCAATAACCTCTTTCATGTACATGAGCATGCTTCTTATAGGTTTGAATTTCAAATCTGCACCCATGATGCACTGAAATACCATTCTCAGGTTCTCACCTGCTGCTTGAAATGCATGACCAAAGACAAGTATGTTATCCACGTAGATTAGTCATATCTCTTATTGTATTTTTCTAAGTGTAAGCTCCATCAGCTTCCCAAAAATCGAAAGTAGCGTTTGCATTACACAGATGGAAAAACATTGTGTGGATTGCACACAGTCTTCCCCAGGTGGTGAAAGTAGTCATGGGTCTACTTTCATTATCCAATTCAGCTTGTCAGTAACAGAAGCCAGATCTAATAAGTTAACCAGCAGACTCCTTCCATCCCATCCATACAATCATTTGTGCACTACAAAGGAAACGTATTGATGTGCATTACTATATCTATATCTGCATCTGGTATTCCAAGGAAGCCTGCAATGCATTTTCTTATTGAATATGTGTCAGATGCTATCGTTGTCTCATTTAATCAGTCACCTGGTCCCATGAACAAGTCAGCAAACTCCCTGAGCAATGCACTGAGTTAATTTCTCTGTGCTGAGTTCAGATTGTTTGAACAATCTTCAGCTAGATGCTTCAGGTGCTCTGGAAGTTGAGCATTTATCCTTGGACACAATATATTGGCTGAAACACTAGCTTCATGACTAAATCATGTTATTTTTGCAGGAAGCTGAAGAGCTGAATGCCTTTTGTTACAGCTAACACTTGTACAGCATTTGTGATTGAAGAGAGTATTGTTCAAGCAAGTACAGCCTGTTCTTCAGACATAAAATAGTGTGTTTCACGCAAAGATTTTATCACCACAATAGATAGCGAAAATGTATTGGAGAGTATCCATAGTAACCATTGAATACTGCTCGTATATTTAGGAAATTTACTACATCATTTTCAATGTGTATGCACAGTTCACTGTTTCTGGTTCCAATATAGTCGGCACTGGATGGTTTTACAGCACAATTGAACCTCAGCTGTTTCAAAAGTGGCCAAAAATTCTATATTAGGCCCACCTCTAAGTAACCAACGCCTGAACCCAGATCAAAAACAAGAAACAACTACCTTTGTTTGCCAGATGAAGCCATAGATGCACCTTAACTCTCACACCTAGCTTGTCACCATTTGCCAGAATAAAGTTAGTGGAGCTAGCAGTCAATAATTACAAACATATTCAAGGGAGATAAACCCCAACTCATTCTAACTTTTATAAGTCCTCGTATCACCTCTTAAAATGACCATAACCTCAATCTAGGTAGTTCACTTATAAAGACAGCCAAGTAGGTATAAGCCTCTATGAAATTATCGTTGTAGTAGGTAACCTTTACCTAAGAGAGGGAATTAGTGTAATCTTTTGATCTTCATACGTCTCATTTACCAGAAAGACTATAACTACAAGCAAAAGACCTGCTAGTTTAATTGTTTTATACATCTTGGAGTTGAGTAGATAGGTAAAGTAAAAACATTCTACTTGCTCTTATTGAATTAAAGGGCTCAATCATTAGATAATTATGTTTAAACTCTCTAATGGGCCCCTCGGTGGGATAGTGGTAAGTCTATGGACTTACAATGCTAAAATTCGAAATTCGATTACCCGCGATAGACACAGCAAATAGCCCAATATGACTTTGTTCTAAAACAAAAACAAATAAACTCTCTCATGGTGTCGAGCTGTGTTGTTTCTTTTAGATTGCATTCTGAACAATTACCATAAAATCGTTCAACGTTTTGAAAGTTTAAATTTAAATATTTTAGCACTTACAGCAAGGTAGTGGCGACTGGATGTCATTCTTGTTACAAGTTTTTTAACTATTACAATGATTAGGTATTCTGGATTAAAATTGCAAACTATAAATTTGTTTCCTTCAGAGTTTCGCACAAAGCTATACAAGGGCTATTTGCGCTTTTCCCATCTCAGGCAATCGAAACTCGGATTTTAGCTTTGTAAGCCTGTAAACTGACTTTCTGGTGAGAAAGAACTGCAACAATAAGATTTTGCTTTGTTTGTTTGTTTGGAGTTAAGTACAAAGCTACACAATGGGCTATCTGTGCTCTGCCCACCACGAGTATCGAAACCCGGTTTCTAGTGTTGTAAGTCCGCAGACATACCACTGTGCCACTAGGGGGCTAAGATTTTGCCGTCGATAAATAAACTGAATATCCAGGACCATGAACGAACTTGAAACTTTTATTGATAAAGTAACTGAAGTTGTAAACGTACACTGAGTAGTAAATGCATAATGCTATAATTTTGTTTAACTAACTCTATAAAAACCTGATTGTAACAACGTATTCTTTCTGATTTTAGTTTTTAAATTAAGGTTGAAAAATATTATTTTCAAAACAATGCTAAAGAGGGCCATAACCATCGCCATATTGAACTATACGCATTTAAAAATAGTTCACGATGTATTCATAACACTTGATTTATATTTTGAGAGTTAGTGTTAAGTACTTGATATTTTGTCTAAAATTTTTCGGTATTAATAAATATCATGTATCTTCAATTTATTTTAATTTAGTTATTTGGTTCTTTGGTATTTAAGATACTACTCCGCAGAGCCTGTAAATGCAAAACATAGAAGTGAGTTGCTGTGATTCAGTAGGAATAAGTAATATTTAGTTTGGCTGTTGTCGTAGGTTCGGATAGTTCGGGTACCAAATCTGTCATCTGGGACTTTATCAACGGAGTTGTCTTTATTTTTTTTTAAGTTTTGGGAAAAGAAGAGGGATATATAAACATGACGGGAGACTGAAAAAATGTGAAAATAATGGCTTTGTCTGTGTTAGCACGTATGTTTATTTTTACAACTTCTAATGTTATAATATATTTAATTAAACTGAAAGTGAAGGGCCATAAATGTGAATATTAAATTTAAAATTTCATCATAATAATAATATATTGTAATACTAATAATTATTAGTATTAAATTACTTGTGCTAACTAATACAGTAATAGTAATATTGTAATAGGATAATACCATTCATAGTAATATAGTGTAATCGTTAGTAATAATAGTACTAAGTTAGTTTTGGGATGTTTTTTTTTCAATATTTTATTGTGTAGTGTAAATTATTTTAATTTTTTTAGGTGTAGCGCTAGCAGTAGCAGTGAGTAACAGAGTGATTAGCCTTTGGAACGGGCTGCCTTCGGATGTAGTGGATGCAGTAAATTTAACATAAATTTTAAGTCAAAGCTTGATAAATATTTGAATGATAAAGTCTGGGTTTGAGTTTTAAACATTTAGCTTAATGTATTGGATATGATGTCCTTGATGGACCAAAATGTCACTTGTTGTCCTCATGGTAACTATTTTGTAGTGTTAACAATTGAAACTTATATTGCATTTTATTGGGCTCTTTATTAGAATACCGTATAACCAATTTTAGGCATGTAGTGAAGGTTTAAAATAATTTCCCATTTACTATTCTTAATATGTTTATATGAGCTTGAATAACTTTTTCTGACAATAGCTTCCTATATGTGAGCTTTTTGACTAAACTCCAAAGTGCTATTTACTGCTGAGAAGTTCAGTTGTGTGAAATTTGAAAAAGAGAAGGGTGCACACACACTACATTTTAAAAATTAAAGTCCAGATTGTTAAGTTGTCTAACACTACAGAAAGGATAATTAACATGTTGGAAGAAAAGCAGAAACAGGCTGATACAATTAGAGGGGAACTTAGTAGAGCACATACCTCTGCCATGCAGCATTGATCATGTTCAGCCCTAAAAAAAAAAAAATGAACATCTGTCCATATGTCTGTCATTATCAAAGGACATGGACAATTTTTGGCAGGACAATGAGGAATAATATTCTACATATGTCCACCAAGTTTCATCAAAATCTGATAATTTTTGACTTAGTTATAGAGCAAAAATAATGTGAAGAATTGGTCTCCATGCTAACAGATAGGGATTTTTCGTGGCCTTGCCCCTCCAAAACCTAATCACTTCTAAGTTGTGTCATATTCCAAATGTATACCAACTTTTGGCCGAATCCATTCAGCCAATTTTGAGAAATCTTACTGACAAACACACACTTGAATTAAGAATCTTGACATGTGAAGTGTGGATTAAAGTTTTAAAGTATTGTAACTGTATTCTATTGAGTATTGATTGGTTAGAAGTTGGACCATGAGGTTTTTAAAGGTTTGGATGTGTACCTGCAGATAGTAATGTAATGGATCTCATTGAATGAAGTATTCCACAGCTTCAGTGGTTCATTATCTTGGCAGGTTCTTATAATAATAATAATATTAACTATACTGAAATTCATGATGTTAGAAAAACACATAGATTCAATAAGTCTTGATAGAAATGAATAAAAACCAGAGATATTTCGAAAGGTAGACATTTCTTCTTCAGGGGCAAACTAGACTGAAATTTTCACACACCACTATGAATTACTTATTTCATCTTTTTTGATTGTTACAATTTATTTTCATGTATGATAAGTTTCAAATTGTTATTGTTGTACAAATGATGTGATGTTATGAGAGGGAGTGCCATATGTTTTTCCAAAGGATTATTGAAAGTATCCAGTGGTATATTTTAAGTAATTGGTTTGATTATAGTGTTACAAAGATTTTCCAACAAAGTTTCTCTTTTATCTTGTGTTTGTGGTGTTTTTTTTTGTTTCTTCTCTGTGATCTTGTAAATGATTATTTTCAACAGTAGTACAAACTCCAGAGGAGTAAGAACAAGTATCCATTTATTTATAAACCGATGAACAGTATATACAAGCAGGCAAGGATTAAACTATAACTGGCTGCCAGTTTTCAGCTCTTATATAGGATTTTGACCCCTTGATCGTGCGATGTGCATACACTGTTAAAGCTACATTTCACCATTCTGAGTTGGGGTTTGTGCTTTAATGATTAATTTAAAAGAACATAGCTCTCTAAGTATAAGGGTAATGGGGCTGAATCCCCTATCACTGTATCAGGTTAAATTAGGAGCTGTGTGTCTGTGATTTCTAATTCTATGTGTACATTGGTTACTTCTCCAGAAGTGTTTCTTTAATCATCATAAATCATATAACCCATGACATCTGTAAATTAACAACTTTTACTTAAACAACCAGACTATTCTGGATCATTAAATCAAGCAGCATTACAGTACATATACATGTGGTTTACATGGCAAGATTTCACGAGTGTAGGTTTACTGTATCCTACATTATGGGAGTTATTACATTTAACCATGGGGACACTTACTGTTTAGTGGTTTTGTAGTTAGTTCATGGGTTTTGGAAAGTAGTGTAGCCAATCACACAGATCTTCCCTGTCACAATGAGGTGGCCTAGTGGTTAGGGTGCTCGACTCGCAATCTGAGGGTCGCGTGTTTGATTCCCCCGTCCCACTAACATGCTTGCCCTTTCAGCCGTGGGGGCATTATAATGTGACAGTCAATCTAACTATTTGTTTGTACAAGAGTTGGAAGTGGGTGGTATTGACTAGTAGGCTTCTCTCCAGTGAATTATTGCTAAATTAGGGATGGCTAGCCCAAATAGCCCTTGTGTAGCTTTGCGTGAAAGTTAAACCAAACTACAATGAGGTATAGGCATTTGAAAAATTTAATAGAAAATCTCACAATCAGGTGAGCTACTTTAACGTTTGCTTGAGTGTTAGAATTGGAAACATGAATATGAATATTTTTTTCCCTGTTGGTTATTAACTTGTAAAATAGTTTGCCAGATTATTCAGTGTGTGTGACTGTACTTTCAATTCCTTTAAATTTTGTTGGATACATTTGATTTTTTTTCTGTTTAGGTTGGATTTTCTTGTTTGGTGGCCTCAGTGGATTAACTGGTCTTCTGTCTCCTAGTCTATCCTTATATTTCTTATGTAATAGGTTTAATCTTTGAAAACCCATATGTATATTTGTTCTTTGACAATTAAGCAAACAAGATTGTAGGTCATATAAACATAAATATTAAGTACAAGTGAAAGGAGGTTGTCATTTAACTCTTATCAGATACAGGTTAGACATTATGTTCAATTTTGGTGACCTTTTTTTTTAAAAAGAATGTTGAATTTTGGGATAGGGCCCGTAGAAGAGTTACCAGGTATGGGTATCTTTTGTTGTGGTTTTGCTGGAGAGATGGAAGTTTTTAAGATTGTTTGAAGTTTGGAAATGGTAAATCCAGATAACATTTTCAAAATGTTTGCAGGCAGTAGCACTAAAAGGACATAAGTTTAAGATATGAAACATACCATGACCTATGGAAAAACAAGGGACCATTTGGTCCTTCAAGGTTGCCCTTGCATATCCACCCTTAAGAAAAGTAAGAATTCAAACCCACTCTTTGGATGTTAAAGCTGAGATACTTTTCTAATTGATTAGTTGGCTTTCAGTTGTCATAACACATTAGTAAAGCTATCACATTGAAAGTGTTTAAAAATGGTAATTTAGAGATCATGTTTGGATAAGATAAAAGCTTGGTGTAAGGTGGTAGTAGAAAATGTAATTGCCCTGATGGGAAGATACCTTCCTCCCCCCTTTGTTATCCTTTGTAAATGAAATTATTTTGATTAGTTAGAAACATATGGAATGATTTTGATGGTTTACAGCACTCCTACAGTTATTAAATCATTTTATGGATAAGCTTAGAAATTTTATAGATTCTAAAAGTCTTGGCTGTAAGTGATGAGATTTATCCAAAGGCTTTAAAGAGGTTAAGTTAGTAGTTGGTTTGGGCTTTAAATGAAATCTTTCAGAAGCCTTGATGATTGGATGGTAGCCAATATATTTTAAAAAGGAAGGGGGTATAGGAATGAATCAGGAAATTACAGACCATTTAGTCTGACTTGTTCATTGTCAGGATTACATAGAAAATCATCAACTTGTATTGATGATTCAGTATTGATTCATATTATTATATGAATTTGATTACAAATTTCCAGCATGGCCTTAAATGTTTTTTTTTTCATAAGTTTGTCAGAATTTTCTTTTGACCTTTTATGTATCTTAATGTGGGTGCCTATGTTAGTTTTGTCTATATAGGCTTCAAGAAAGCTTTCGATAAGGCTCCCAATAATAGGTTGATTACTAAGGTTCTTATAGAATTGAGGTAAAGTTCAAAAGGTGAATGAATGATTGGCTTGAAGGTAGAAAACAAAGGTTTGTGGTAGATGAGTGCAATTCTGATGGTGTAAAATGTGATTAGTGGAGTCACTCAAGGGTCTTTATGTTGTGGGACCTTTATTGTATATTTTCTATGTAAGTGACATGGACTTCTGCATAGAGAGTATGATTTGTAAGTTTTCTTTTGATACTGAACTGATGAGTAAGGTTAATTCTTTGGAAAAGGCTTCTTTAATGCAGAAGAGTTTTAACAACTTGCTGAGTGAGTTTTCTGGTGGCTCGGCAGTAAGTTCGAGTGCTTATAATGCTCAAATTCAGGGTTTGATCCCTGTGGTGACCACAACTTAGATGATCCATTGTGTAGCTGTGCTATAATAATAAATATTGTTTCCTGAGTGGTGTAATCTATGGAAAATTAGTTTCAAAATTGAAAATGTAAAGTGATACATTTAGGGTATGGAAAATTTAGAAAGACCCTGTTTTTTCTCTCTGTCTCTTAGAGAAATTATATTAGTGTTGTGAGGAGAGAGAAGGACTTTCGGGTGATGACTGAAAAAAATTTCTCAAGCCTTGGGCTGAATTTTTGAAAATGGTGAAAAAGCAGCTAAAGTTCTGAGATCTATTTATAAATATTTTAAGCTCAGGAGTGGGGAGATTATCGTCACTTTGTACACAACTATGTTAAGTTCTCATCCAAAGTTTTGGTCTCCTTAACACACAAAATATATTGATATACTTGAAACTTTTCAGTGATGGGCTACAAAATTATGATTCTGCATTTTAAATATTTGAGATATGAACAGATTTGAACTTGTTTCCTTTGCAGCATAGTAGAATTAGAAGTGACCAATTCAAATGTTTAAAAATCATTACAGGTTTGTATCATCTGCTCATGGGAGGTTTTTTTGGGCTGTTGTAAGGACAGATATTTAGGCAGAATCTTAAATATAAGAGTAAATAACAGTGGAAACCAAGATTCATGCTGGTTTCAGGTTAAATGATTTCTTCCATGTTAACTCTTGGAGTGGTATAACAGAAGTGGTGTGTGCTAGTCAGGAACATCTTCAAGTTTTTTGTTGGATAATTTTATTGATGTGAGACATTGTGTTGGACATATTTTTTTGTTGAGTAACCCTGATTGTATACATGACTTTCTATTGCTTCTTATGATCTTGTTTTGGTTTTAATATTTTATTTATTTATTTTTGTGGGTGGGTGAAGTGGCTCCTGTAAGCTGACTTCTTATCAACTCTTTCATATGCTATGTACACCACTTACTTTCTAGGTTTTAAAAAGTCACAGTTTAATCTAGGTATAGTTTTGTCAACACGTTACTAAGCCTACTATGTAGTTAACATGTGACTAATTTTCTTTTAATACTATTATATGTTGTTGTATTTTTTTCTGTAAAACAATTTTAATAACTTTTCAAGTGAAAAGAAAGCAATATTGTTGTTGTTAGTATATTTCATTAAATTGTTGTTAACTCACTAGACACTTTTTTTCTCTCCATCAAAATAAACTTGAAGCATCTAATCTAAAAAAAATGTATTTTAATGGTTGCAGCTTTCTTATTTTAGAAACTTTGTTTTTCAGCCTCACAAACAATATATTGGTGTTGCTTCATCTGATATGATAAATAATAAACCGAGAAATATTTCTCTGAATGGAAATGATACTGAAACGTCAAAGGCAGAACATGTGGTCACAACATCTGAAGATTTGACAAAACAAGCATGTTCTTCTCGGTATTCCATGTCCTATAGTGGAAAGTCAAATATTCCATCAAGTATCAAACCATCTCTTGGTATCCAGGATGTTAACAAGTCTTCCCAGCAGCATTTAGGACAGCGTTCCAGCCAACGACTTACCTATCAGGATGTAAGTGTTTCTAAAGTTGAAAAGCACTTAAGTGATAGAAGTAGTGGAGAGTTAAAGGTTAGATCTGTGCAAAAGCATCTGAGTGCATCAGAACCAATCAATGCAGCAGATAAAAGGAACAAGAGTGGCATATCTCATGCTGCTTCTTACTTGTCTGGGTCTGTACGACGAGTGCAGTTCAGAACAGATCGAACTTCTTTGGGCCTTACGAAACAAAACTCTTCTAAACTAGCTGTAAGCAAAGATTTAAGGGAATTGCCTTCTCCTGATGAAACTCCAGAGTTGGCTTTTCCAAGCAAATCTCCTCCTCCTTTCAAGACTAGTCAAAAACTTGGAATGGCTGGAACGAGGCATCAGTCAACAAATGTTAAAAACGGTGACTTACGTCAAGAAGATGCTGAGAATAAAGAAGACTCATTGGATGAGAATGGACATGTTAATAAAACAAATAGTCGGCCCTTGATTTCACGATTTTCTTTCACTAAGACTGTTAGTAGAAAACCTATTGCAGAAGAGTTTTTACCCCCTAGTAAAACAGATTTGTCATCAGAGTCATGTTCTGATTTTCTTGATTCTTTTTACCCAAGTACTGTCTGTGATAATTCAGGAAACGAAAATAGGAATGTTGCAGTCAATGGTTTGCAAACTACAATTTTATCTTCTAATTTTGACAAAGCAAACTTTAAAGAAAATCAGAACTTGGTTAAGATACCCGAGGAAGGCTACAACATATGTCAGTCAAGCAATACATTTGTTGAAAATCCCAGTCATTTCTCAGTTTCAGTTACGGAATCAAGCACTAATCTAAAAGATGAAGCAGAAGTTGTTTTTGAAAACAAAGTTCATCAGGTTGATCCTGGAACTAACAAGGGGGAAGATAATTCTTCAGAGCTCCCTCTAGAGGAAGATGAAGCAGTGAAAGCCAGAGATACATCCCCGGATGGACGTTTTCTTAAGTTTGAGGAGGAGATTGGACGTGGATCGTTCAAAACTGTATATAAAGGATTAGATACAGCCACAGGAGTTGCTGTCGCCTGGTGCGAATTTCAGGTTAGTGAACTTACTTTTTGTTAGAGGTTTTAGATCCTGGTGATTGAGAATTGTTTATATGCTGTATTCTAACCAAGAGGTCTAGTTTTTATCATTCAAACATTTTACTGTTTCCTTTCTTAAACCAAGTTTTTGTGCCTGGAGCAGTTTTACTTTGAAATGGCATGATTTCTGTTGGTGCAAGTTAATCACAATTCTGAATTGTGTAATTATTTATTAGTCGTTATGCCTTACATGGATTCTATCACCTTTAATTTCTTCTGTGAATCATAAAACTGCAAGTAAATCGTTTGAAATGATAATTTGCCCCAGTTGTATCTTCAGTATATTAGCTGGTTCTTTTGATTATGCAAAGAATTAGGCTTGTTGTTCTCAACAGATTTAATTTGTATACTGAATTTTTTTAACTTCCTATAAATAAAAGTATGAACTGGAATACAAACACATGGGTAAGTTATTGATGATGATATTTGAGCACTCTGGTGGCTCGATGGTAAGTTTTGGGGATTATGATGTTACAAATTGTTTCAGTATCAACGATTGGCCTAGTACTAGATAGTACATTTTGTTTAACTTTATACTTAGCAACAAACAAACCCTTTATTTGATATTCAAATGGCAAGTTTAATAGAATTTTCAGATTAAGACTTTAGTGTAATCAAATATAAGTTACAATTTGCTTCTTGAATTTGAGTACACTTATGTTCTGTTTAAGCCACACTAATTTTAAGTAAAAAACATAAAACCGTATTTAATTTGCCTTACGAGTCTTTAGCATTAGGATACATCTTTTTTCTATATAGAATTGTAGCAGAAGGAAGCCAATAAGTTAGGTATGTTATTTTCAAGTGACTTTTAAAAAAAAAATGCATTCAAGTCACATTTCACGGTCTATTTGTCATTATATTTGTAGCATCTAACTTCAGGGAAAATACTGTTTTTAAACCTGTTTTATTTTTGATTAAAATATACAGTTATTTTGCTTTTTATTACATTGATTTTCAGTACTGGAAATTACTTTTTGTAGAAACTTACTTACATATTTTTCTTTAATAAGTTAAAATTTGACATCCACAATTAATGTATTTGTTGCCTAAACAAATATTTGAATGTCAGTCATTTAATGCAGTTAAAATGTGTTTTGAGATGATTGTTTTTTGCTGGTAAATATGTACATGCCTATAAATTCTGATACAAAAAAAAAGAAAGTTGTAGTGATCAAGACACAACCTAAAATATGTAAAATGATTTCATCCTAAGTTTATGGATATAATTATACCCAAGATAAGTAAGTTTGTTCCTGATAATGATCAAATGTTGGAAAAGATAATTAGGCAATATTATTGAATTAGGAAAGTAAGGCACATTGAAAATATATTGAACCAGATAAAAAAAAATAAATGTTATAATAACTTACCTAGGGGTTCTTGCCTCACCTTTGAAGATTTAACACCCACTGTCTAGCTTACTTTATTTCTTCAGGCAAAATTTAGTTTGCCAAGACTTTGTGCTTTTCATTACAGGGGACTAACAGTGATTACATCTTGTGGAATCATGTTCTAACATGATTACAGTTTTAAAAAGAATCTCACATTTTTGATTAAAGCCATTCATGATGTTTTTTACAACACACTTCAGACTTCATGAAACAAATTAGTTGTTTTTATGATTAAGGGGGTGTAATGGTTTTTTTTTTTACAGTTTCTCTTTATGAATAATGGGACTGGATATATTAACTTGTCATTATTATATTAACTTCTATTACTCCATCTTGGAAAAAAATTTAAAGTTAAAACATTGACATAGAATATTATGCTAATGGTACATGTAGGGGAGTTATCTAACTCGCTATTGTTATAATGTTTTCTAAATTTATTATTATTTTTGTTTTCTTCCCCATTTCATTCATACAAGATTTTTTCATTGTGCATATTTAGTGTCCTGATTTAAATTCATTAAGAAGTAAGAGGTGCAGATGACAGGCAATTAATCTATATGATCAGTTACCTATTAGACTTAATTACATCTATTAATTTAATGTAAAAACAATCAATCAGTTATGATTAAGTTGATTAATATCATGAAAATAATCAGATAATCGAAATTAGTGTTTACCATTATTACTGTTTTCAATTATTCCAATTATCTAAGTAATTGAAATATTGCCATTATGATTTCTCATTATTATTTGTGATTAATTCAGTGTTGTTCAGTTTAATCAGTTAGTGTCACAACTCATGAAAATAAAATAATTATAATTAGTGTTTCCCAGTATTACAGTCCAAGTCTCGTGAGAATAATTGATTAGTTGAATATAAATGATTAATGTGCCCCAAAATTAATCAGTTATTAAATTCGATTAATCGTCCAGCTCTACTAAAATTAATTAAAATGAAGTTTTCACGAGACCTCTGCACATCTGCATCTTCATAATGCATTACGACTAAATGTTTTAAACACAGCATGTGTAATGTATAGCAGTCAAGACACACAGCATGTGTAATGTATAGCAGTCAAGTCAGTTTCAGGTTTAGGTCAAAAGGTGTTGTAGCTCTGTAAATAGAACTCAAAAACAATTGTACATGTTTAGAAATACAAACATGTACACGTATATCGTTTTATACCAGTCTTGTACAAAGTACAGTTTGTGTAGTGACATCATTGCATAATTTAAGTAAGTGATTTTGGTTTGTTTTGCTTACCATACTCAAATGTTCGGGTTACAGTGATTGTACTGGCTGAAACAATTAGACTTAAGTGGGATAAAGCCCACTAGATAGCTTGAACACTTACGTTAAACATTTAAAAACTGATTGTTCTGGAAAATGTTGTACTCTGCAGCTAATGGTCCTGAAATGTACCTCTTGCTTCTAGAGTAACACTTGTAGCATGTGAAGAACAGAGAGAACTTACTTATCAATGTAACTAAGATATTTATTTTATAACATTCTGGTTTAATCATCGTTAGAATGTACAAAAGCATGGTATACAGGTTTTGTTTCACATACCAACAAGGATATGATTATTGGTGAGGAAGCAGATCATTGGTATTAAACCATATGGCTTTGAACCTCAAAAACAAAATTAACATTTTGAATCACTGATAATTGTTCTGAACTTTCCTTCCAACAGCTGTTCATCCAGGTTTATCTTTGATTCCAACAACTATCCATCCAGGTTTAACTTTGATTCCAACAGCTATCCATCCAGGTTTATCTTTGATTCCAACAGCTATCCATCCAGGTATAACTTTGATTCCAACAGCTATCCATCCAGGTTTATCTTTGATTCCAACAGCTATCCATCCAGGTATAACTTTGATTCCAACAGCTATCCATCCAGGTCTATCTTTGATTCCAACAGCTGTCCATCCAGGTTTATCTTTGATTCCAACAGCTATCCATCCAGGTATAACTTTGATTCCAACAGCTATCCATCCAGGTCTATCTTTGATTCCAACAGCTGTCCATCCAGGTTTATCTTTGATTCCAACAGCTTTTCATCCAGGTATAACTTTGATTCCAACAGCTTTTCATCCAGGTATAACTTTGATTCCAACAGCTTTCCATCCAGGTATAACTTTGATACCAGTAGTTTTACACTCAGGTTTATATATCAAAAAAAAAAACTTTCAAGCCATTATTTGAAGTAAACCCTAAAGTTTATACACTAAGCACTTGGCAGTGGTTGCCCAACATTTGATATATACATACCAGTTGTGCAGCATAACATCAAGTAGGTATAAGCGTGGAATGAAACAAAATAAACACTAGTGAAGAAAGAGAGCAGACAGAGCTTTAAGTGCGCGTCAGTAGAGTAATATAGATACAAAGAATGAGCAAAATTATATTCAACGTACTGACTCTGAAGTGCAATACATTTTGTCACCAATAAAATCCTACAATAAATATTACTTTTTGGTATATCCCAGCTCTAATTAATACATTAATATTTTAAGCAGATTAAAAAGGAAACAAGATCAGATCATCAACACACGAAACTGAGCCGAGTTTCACAGTCATGCAAGCCACTAATAGCTCGTCACACATTTTTTGAGCTCATTATTATACTAGGAAACAGAGCCCCTTGAACACTTTGATCAGAAGAAGAAGGGCACTTGAGAAACATGTCAATGATGGTGTGACGATGTACTTTAATGCAACTTTTCCCAAACTTTTGTCATCCACGATCCTCTTTAATAAATATCGTTTTGTTGCTCCTCCACCTTTAAATGAGCGAAAGAGTGGTTTAAGTGAGAAGATATGATACACGAATACACATTAAAATACCGTATGTGTTATAGTAATTACTTATTATTTTAATTAACAAAAAATATATTAAAATACATAATTTTGCATTATTCCACGACTGATGCTATCCTTAATTGGCCTTCCCCCACCAATAGATCATAGCCCTCGTGTAGATTTGCGCAAAATTCAACAACCAAACAAATGTAACAGCAGTTAAATAAGGGAACGTAAACTTTAACAACTGCTAATTGTTCTGATACATAGCAAATTGTTTATTTCTTAAAAGCAACATTTCGAGAAAAAAAAAAAGTGTAGTTATGTTATTTACATTCACTCGGAAGCGTGAATAAATTTGGAACTATTCGCCATAATAAAAGAGTTTTGTTAGTAGGATTTCTGAAGTGATTAAAAAAAAGAAATCCTTAAATAATGATAGTAATAAAACATATGCCGTATGAATTAACCTTTGTTACACAATGCATACCTTTTTGTCACCCCCCCCCCCCCCCCCACGTGGCGTAGCGGTATGTCTACGGACTTGTACTGCTAAAAACCGGGTTTCGATACTCGTGGTGGGCAGAGCACATATAGCCCTTTGTGTAGCTTTGTGCTTAATAATAAACAATAACCACTGGTATTAGTGTTTGATCGTAACGAATAAAGTCAGTTACCAGTTCATGATGTGTTTTAGATATAGACTCTGTTATGGAGAAATATTCTCACATTTTAGAAGAAACTGTTTTTGGTACA